CAACATCAAAATTATATCATTTTGGTAATATTTTCTTCTAATTGTTCAGCCCTACAACTGATTTTCACATCTTTATCGCATATTAATCTCAAACATGTGAAGCTTTGAAGCTGAAAAAATCTTCCTTTGGAAGAAATGAAGGGAATTCTCTAAGTTACAATTAAGGGATCAAAGCAGAAAAATATGGAGGTTTTCATAGATTATTTAAAGATGTGATAAAAGTAGCTCAGATGTGAGGATTTGCTGCTTCATTCCAGCTGAAGACCACAAATAAATATCTGCCAGATTACACATGAACTAACATGAGTAAATAACATGAGAGAGGAGAAGCTGAACTACATGTGTGTGGTTCCTCAGGATCCTATCCACTGACAGGGACAACTAATGGACAAACCTGTTTGTGGTAGATGGATAGAGCGCAAGCTGTGAGCTGAGACAACAAGACCATTACATGACCCAAAGGTGTGTGTGTGTGTGTGTGTGTGTGTTTGTGTGTGTGTGTATGACTTGTATTTAAGATTGTCTGAGCTTGTTATATTAATTGAGTTTAATTATGTGAGACAGGAATTCCTAGTTTGTCATCAATATAAGTCCTTTAAAATAATAAAACAATCAAAAACTCAGTGTATAGATGTGCCCTTAATGCTGTCATACTTTAAATTCCCACCGGAGCTCGCCACTAAAAATAAACAGCACAGCACAGTATGGTACACTGGATAAAAGCCAGCAAATGGGGCATGGTTTCTTAAAGGTCCTGTGAAATACAAATGCCTTATTTTGCATGCAGTGACCTTGAGTTCCTGGCGATGTATCATGAGCCAAATACATGTCAGAAATGCTTCCAACCTACTTTTACAGCACTCGACCCATTTTTCTCCCTGTAAAGGTCAAAGTCTGCACATCTTTTACTTTGAGTTATAAATAAAAACCATGTAGTATATAAAATGTGATATTTTGTGATGTGTTTAATTATTAAAAAGACAAACGGCCATATTTGGGTGTTATTCTGTAATTTCTTATTGCCTTATGAAAACTGTGTTAGTCTCTTTCTGACTTCTCTTTCCTGCCTGTTGCTCTCAGTCTCATCAGTTCCTGTTTCATGTGGACCAATATCAAACAATAGAAGACAATTATAATTCCAAAACCTTTACATGGGACCTTTAAAGCTCCCTCACTGGACTTGGATCATGTTGCTCAGGGCCACATTTTTACTATTTAATTGAACCTTTTTTTCACAAACTTGGCAAATCAGGAAACTGATGAGTGAACAGACCAAAGGACACAACAAGAAGCAAAGTATAAAACACAGAGATAAGAAATGTCATGCGGCATGTTGGCAGACGTTACTGATGGATGAAAGAGTATTTTTTGTCCCATGTTGGTGAGAGCGAGGGGGCTTTGATTTAGTAAGATTAGAGATATTCAGCACAGACACATGAAGACCTCAGTAACATGAGCACACACAGACCTGGCTGTGGTAGATTTGATCTGACCCTGATGGGGCTCAGTCATGGTGCCCCAGGAGCACGCACACACACACACACACACACACACACACACACACACACACACACACACACACACACACACACACACACACACACACACACACACACACGTAATGACTGATAGTTGGTTCCCTGTGATGCTGTCATTATTTCATCTGATCCAACTTTGGCATAAAATACATGTCCCTATATCACGAGTGATTCTGCCATATATGTCACCTAGAAGGGGATCTATTATTATCTCATAAATACATCCTCTGGATGTAGGAAGATATAAGTTTATAACATATATAAGACACCTATAGTAAAATATTTATATGTACATATATTAAAAATATCTATGATGAATTGTTATATGATATAACATGTTGTGACCATATATGTTAACAATATACATGTGTAATTTATACATACATATAAAAATCCTACATTCTTATATATGTTTTTCTGATTAATTTCTAAATTAATTAATTAACTAATTTCTATCAAATTAATTTTATGTTTATCTTCCCATCCTGGGAAAGAGGTCTCAAACCTTTGGACCCTACTCTATATAAAATCAGATGGGTTGGATATACATTTATGTAACATATGTGTACAATATAAGCATACATACATAAAGATACATATTTTTTATGGGCCAATTTCTAATAGGTTTCATATAATCTTTACATATGTATTTTTTATTTTATATGTACATATATTTCATGTATGGAAATGCAATATATACGAGTACAACTTCAACTTGTGCTTTGTTTGCACAACTCGCTGCAAACTTTCTTTGTTTTTTTTTAGTCGTACATCAAGGTTAACATACTGTCAGTGTTTCTGGTGCAGGGCTGCATGCCGTCAGAATGACACCCGGGACAGACCGCTGCAAGCAAACTGCAGGCTGCCTGTGCTCTTCTGAAGCTGACCTGTCTGTAGCAACATTTCTGTGTAAACGGCCTCAACGCTCATTCAACAGAATATGAAACATTATTAAAAAGCTAAACCGTGACAAGCTGCTGCACAGAATCCCCCCTACAGGAATAAAAGTTGTACTTAATGAAAATCTCAATTTGTTTGCAGATCTTGTGCAGAGCTTCTGTAAAAGTTTTTTTTTTTTTTGCTGCATATGCACTCTCTACACTCGCAGGACAGTTTATACAAATGTATGGTGATGTGGGATTTGTATTTCAAGAAAAAGAACTCGAAGGCAAAATGGAGATGAAAATGCTTCTGACAAATTGAAGTTTTATGTAAAAAACTGAATTATCACATTTCCAACTCCCCATGTGATAATTAATATTACATCACATACAAACTTCCTCCACCATACATTTGCATAAACCTCTCAAGTGTCATGGTAGAAATTTGCATTAAACTGCTCACATACGCTACAACTATGTGTAACATTGTGTCACAATATATTTACATAAAAACTGCACTTGAATTGAATTCATTTAAATTGAATTCATTTAAATTTAAGTGTCATTTAAATTAGCGTTTCATTTACAGTTCGTGCAAACTCCCCACGTCACTATCACTTTGCAGCTAGCTGTTCTGTCACACAGGACATTTTATGCAAATCTATAGTGACAAAAGGAGTTTTCTGACATCGAGTGTGTGTTGTGCAAACACTGTTCTAATCTCTCTCTCTGCCAATGTATGGGGACATTGGAGGCTTTTCATGCAAATAAGTGGTGACATGTATTTGATACGACAGCCTAAAGCAACAGTGATGTAACGGTGTCAAACTGCAATAACTAATTTTACTTTAGAAATGTAAATGCGTTTGACTTTGGTTTAAGATCTGTGTTGTTCTTCCATCAGTTCTGTAAACATCAGCTTCAGCACAGTCAGTCACTACACTACAGTTATCTCAATAGCAGAAGAAGAACCTCGCAGCTCTGTCTGACTGCTGATACGACATCTAATGTTTCTGATTTCAAGCTCTCTGCAAACCCACAGAGACGTCCACCATGTTTTCACTGTGAAGTCAGGCTGTAATTTGACTTGACGAGTCAGCAACAAACAAAGGTTAAAATTGGGGCCCAATGGTGGGCAGGGAAGGTATTGCAAGTGGGCCGATAAATCATTTGCAGAAAAGTACCATTTTGGTGAAAAGATGTAACTATAATATATATATATATATATGTATATATATGAACCTGGCTGGGACTTGTTGTTCAATGCCCTATTGTGACTTTTCAAGTTAAAAGCACTGACATGCCTTCCAGCTGGGTTCATCCCTTTTTTTCTTTTTAATTTATTTTTTGCCTAAATACCGGTAGAGAGAGAGTGAGAGGATTATATGGAGCAAAGGGCCATGGGTTGGTCTCAATCCCGTGCCGCTGCGGTTAGGATTATGCCATCATGGCACCTTAGTCTGATTGTACGCTAGAAAATGACATCCATGGCAAAAACAGGTGGTCAGTGTCCGACATGAACACAAAGAGACTGGACAAGCTGGTAAAAAAGGCGGACTCACTCAGGACTGTAGTGGAGAGACGCATGCAATGTAAGATGGAGGCCATCTTGGATAACACCAACCATCCTCTCCACAACATTCTGGCAGGACAGAGAAGCAGCTACAGCTGCAGCAAACGTCTCATCTCACTGCGCTGCAGAACAGAGAGGTTCAGGAGATCCTTTGTTCCCACTGCCATCAGGCTATACAACACCTCAGCCAAAGGAAGTGGACTAATCTAATTATTATTGTTTATTTATTATCAACTGTGATTATTATTATTACTATTATTATTATTATTATCAACAATGAGCTAATGGACACATGAATTTCCCCTAGGGGATAAATAAAGTATCTATCTATTTATCTATCTTTCTATCTATCAAAATGGATAGCTGGTAGCAAGAGGAAGAATCAAACAGGAAGAGAGTCAGAGACAGATGCTGAATCGACAAGTGAGCTCTCCTCGTCAAACAAAAAAGAAAAACTTCCAGTTCAGGCCTGAATGTTCTATCATTATCATTGAAATAAAAAGTGCTCTGAGAAGGCATTATTCAGCCTCCCTATTGTTACGCAGTCAAATGTGTGTAAGATTTTTAAGTGGGCCATGAGTTGGAAACAGTTGAGAACCAGTGCTTTAGACTTTGATGACAGTGGACAAGTGTATAACATTAACATCACAACAACTTAAATTTGCACCAACACAACCACAAAGCTAAACCTCTGCAGCAGAATGAGGTTCAAACCATTAAAGAGACCCTGTAGACTTTAAACAGGAACATGAATGGAACTGTTCTGCTACCAAGTGTTTTTTTCAATCATTCATCTCTGCTTCTATTTCAATCAATACAGCTGTCTACAGTGTTTTACTCATGCTATACTCCTGTGAACGCAACCCAGTGTGTTATTCTTCAAAGCTTTTCCATTTTACAGACATAACTGCAGTGATTGTGCGTCAAGGCTCCAAGTGCTGCTCATGTTACACCCCCCCCCTGCAGACACAGAGTTAAAAACAGCTTGAATTGAGTGTGGTGTCAGACCTGAGGGCAGTGGTGTAGTGGTGAATGGCCTCCTGGTGCCGACCACTGTCTTTCAGGAAGTTGGCGAAGTTGTAGTGGACTTTGGCGTTGTGAGGCAGAGTCTGGATACCAGACCTGAAACGAGGAGGAAGAGGCATGGTGACAGTCCGAAGAAAGTGAGGAGCAGACATCTCAGAAAAATCCCAGTGAGGACAAAACACCTTTCAAGGAGAGAAATCTGTAGCCCCATTTGGACAGGATTTATGTGAGGAGGTGAGATGATTTTAATATTACCTGCACAGGTCAATGGTTTTAATCCTGAATATGTACGGCAATTTTATCAATTTAAATCTACAACACAATAAAGCTTCTGTATGCGGATAATACTTCACCCTCAACCCCAGTAATAATTACAATCTCAATTACCTACAGCTTTTCTGTGAACCGGCTGCTCCTCCTGTCACTTCAATACAGAGCGACTGCGAGTTTTTTTCCTTCTCACGCTTTTTCAGCTTAGTGTGAAATTTGACTTTTGTGTGAAAATGGAGTACGTCAGAAATGTTTTTGTTAATTTGATAGACAGACACATGCTAATAACAGCATGTAGACCCATTCGAGGAACTAGTTTTACAACGGAAAAAATGATGTCCAATATTGTATAAAGGTAGATGTCCATGTGTTGTTTGATTATAAAGCAGGTCTAGGTTCTTTATTAAGACTGTGAAAGTATCAAAGCGCTTCAAATAAAACACAGGAAAAGTGTAAAATATGGGACCTTTAAAGCCACAAGAGCAAATATGCTGTAGTGACATCATCTACAAGCATGAACTATGTTTCTCTTTGTTGTCTATATTTGTTCACAATTTGGCAAACTAGCCCCATAAAGAAATGCTAAATTAGCTATTAGCAGTTACTGTTTGCAGCGTTCCCGTCGATGGGAAACGATCAAGATTAATTTTGATAATGGAGACGAATGTGATGATTCTCAGGCAAGTTCTTCTTTTGTATGATTTATTGACATTATTTGTGATGGACATTAGAGAAATCTTTAGGAAGTGTGAGTCACATGTTTATTACATATCACATCCTGTAGTTTCTTATCGATTAAAATGCCATTCGGATCATGTATTAAATTACAGAGGAGCACAGTGAACATTTCATTCCCATGATTTTACTGACCACTTTGGAAGGAAGAACATTTATGGGATGGCATTCATCTGTCGAGACATGGTGTGAAGTGATTTGTGTCAGAGGTGAGGGAAGCATCACCTGATTTATTTGACTGGCATATTTACAACATATTTACTGACAGAAACTGACTGACTGATGAACAAATTCTCACCTGCTGAGCCTTGGGCGCAACGGACATTTGCAGATTCTTACAGCTCTATTTCATTTGCATTTTGCACTATCTTTATGACTTACTGCTGTGCAGCTGATTTTTCCTATTTAATTATTTAGGCCTATTTTACCCTGTTTTTTTACCTCTTGTGCTTTTGTTTGTTTTTTATATTTATGGCTTTTATATGTGTCATGTAAGCCACTGATGCCTGAATTTCCCTCTTGATTAATAAAGTATCCATCTATCTATTTCTCTGCAGGCCCCTATCACAGACAGCGCCTCTGCTATTCCTGTGTTGATCAACAACCACTTCAGTCTCCACAGGGCTCAAATAAATTGTAGGAATAAAAATCACTCAAATGTCAGTAGCAGCTTCATTTCAATCAAGTGTGAACCAATCCTGGATGCTGTTCAGCCCACTGTCTTCACTTCTCCGGCTCTCCACACTCCACCTGTCACTTCCACTGTTAAAATGTGTCTTTTAAATGTCAAGTCTCAGAATAATAAGACTTTTTTGTCCGTCAAGATTTTATCACATAGCACAGAGTTCTTTAAGATCGACGAGACCTGGCTAAGCCTGGAGGACAATGATCCCCCGCCCCCAGTTTCTTATAAGAAAGACCATAAATGGTCTCCAATCTCTTTCGCAAATTGTATCAGTTTTTAAGTTTTTAGTTTGTTCTATTGAGTCATTTGAATTCACACAGCTTGTGAATGTGGCCAGTCACTGTGAGGGTCACACTCTTCATTTAGTGCTCTCACTGGGTCTAGCTCTCCAAAACATGGAACTTCTTGATGTTTGTCTATCAGACCACAAAGCTTTGGTTTTTTAATGCTCCACTTCCCCGTCCTGTTTCTAGTGCTGTTCGTGATGCCTTTGTCGCATCTTCTCACCCTCCCGTGTCCCTCTGAGCTGTATCCTAATATTGATGCAATTCTTCCTTAACAAAGGAACTCCCCTGGATATTTCAGTTCCACCTAATGTTCCAGCTTCACTTAATTGGTATGAGCCCAATACTCTCAACCAATCAGCTCTCACTAAAACCAGAACTCAAATGAAATCCTCATCCTGTCAATTAGACACTATTCCCACATCTCTCCTAAAGGGGGTGTTTCAAACAGTTGGTCCCACATCCTCTCCGTCATAATTACTCCTTGGTCTTCATCCCCATCTTCCCATTAATTACAGACCCATTTCAAAATTATCCTCTTTTCCAAACTTTTTGAGAAGCTGACCCCCTGACAGCTCCATTCTCACTTGAACAAAAATAGCCTAATTGAAAAGTTTCAATCTAGTTTCAGAACCCTCCACAGTACAGAGACTGCCTTAATTAGGGTAATCTATTACCTACTCCTGACTATGGATTCTGACTTCTTAATGACTGACTTCTCAACCCTGGTCTTTCTAGACTTAAGTGCAGCACCCCCCCCCTCATGCTGATGTGTTCTTACCCCTCTCTGAAGAACCCTCTCTGTTGTTCTTGGCACTGCCTCCTCATCATCAGCCCATCTCACAGTGTCTATCCTTGGTCCTTTATTATTGTCAATCTATTCGCTCCCACATCCTATTTCATTGTTGCACAGATGATACTCAGATGTATGTTCCACTCAAATCCTCAAACTCCAGTGGTCTCGCTTCCTTTAAGGCCTGTCTAGCTGACAGACATTGGTGGACATTGGTGAAAGTCCTTCAACTCAACACAAATAAATCAGAGATTCTCCTGTTCATGCCCTCTCAGTTCAGATCTCAACAATCTTGGCTCTCTATCAGCTAATATGAAACCAACTGAAAAAACCTGGATGTTTGATTTGACTCTGAAGTTTGTTTTGAGTAAAGAGGGTTGTTCAGTTTTGCTTTATACACCTTAGATACATTTCTAAAATAAGATCTGTCATATCTAATCAAGATCTCATAGAGTCTCGAACCCTTGTCTTTTGGCATTTGGTAGACAATGATTAGTGATACGAGGAGATTTGAACACATCATTCCTGTTTTAGCTGCTCTCCATTAGCTGCCAGTTATTGTTAATGTTTAAGGCTCTTTATGGCCTGACACCTACCTATCCCACTGAGCTCCTAATACCTGACATGGCTCTTCTGGTTATTCTGGTAAGTCTGGGTTGCTGACCAAGGGTGCCTGTGCCTTTGCTTATTGCTTGCTTTGCTTTCTCTTTTGGTGTTGTGTTGTTTTAAACGTTGAGCTACATTGTGTTTTAGGTTTAAGTTTACTTGTACATCACCTTGTAATTTTGTTAAGGTACAGTATTGTTGTATAGGCATACAGTGTGTACATGTTTGGGATGTACACACACACACACGCTCCTTCTCCTTACCGGAAGAGGGCCTCCCTGGAGAGCCAGACGTGGTTCTGCTGGACGGTCTTCCAGGAGAAGAGCAGGAGCAGCAGCAGCATGGAGACACTGAGGACCGTGGTGCCCCAACGGCCAACCACCGAACACAGCCGGCCCAGGCCGTGAGCCACCAGGATACAGTAACCCATACTGGAGAGGGATGGAGGAGGGAAGTAAGAGGAAGGGAAGAAAATAAAAGAAAGTTTGGGGGGAAAAACAAAAGAAATGGAAGGGAAAGAAAGATGTTATTCATGACTCTGTTACTGGAGTCCTACATTCTCTAGTCCTGTCTTTACACAACACACTCTTCTTCAAACCTACATGGTATAACGCAATGCCTCCAAATCCCTTGAGCTGCTGATCCTGACACTGATCACATGGTAAAAAAAAAACTTTATGTAAATGTCATCTGTGTTTGCTGTCATTATTATACACACACACACACACACACACACACACACACACACACACACACAGACTGTACTTAGGTGTGTGTGCTTCTGTGTAGCTTAAGGCGCAGGATATTTTCCCACTCCTACCGCGCTACTGCACGGGTGCAGATACACTGACATAGTACACACTGAAGAACAACAACACCAAAAAAAGGACAGAAGGAAGAGACAGAAATTATCAAGGAAGGCTTAGACCCGCATGACTTGGAAATGGTGATAAGACTGAAAAAATAACAGCAGAGATTAGAGGAGAGCTCAGTCAAGAGACTGAAAAACATCGTGTGACGACCCGTGTGACGGAAGAAGATGACAGGAACATAGAAAAGTGGAAAGAGGAGGGAGGAATGGAGGAATTCTGTGACCATGGAAAAAAACTACATCTCCTATTGAAATTTACCAGTGTAACAATGTGTGTTATGTCAGCACGACTTGGTTTCATCCATATCTATAAAACTCACCAAAGCTCTCCTCTAGGCTCTTCTACATATTATCTCTGATATCTGAAAACATCAACGTCCTCCTGTTGTTGCAGACATGTTTGACCTAATCACACACTATCCTCCTCTGTGCCTGCGATTGGTCATAACGGCGCAAACATCGCCCCCCCCCTTTTTATGTGAACGTGCTCGTGGCTAGATTTGGATAACCCGGGATGACTCACCGAGTTGATAACCAGCGTTGTGTGACCACCTAGCGTGACTGCCGGTGTAAAGGTTCACTGAAATCCAGATAACGAATAGATATCCCGGGTATGCTGAGCCTGTTTCATAATACAGGCCCCAGATGACAGAGAAGATTGTAGTAGGTGATTCACATCATTTTCATACATCAGACCATCCACTGAGCCCTGATCACGTATATGGAGGCATCTGCTCGTTATGTTTCAACTCTCTTTTATTCAGGTTCTTTTCCTTCTGTTCTGTCACCCATTGTTCGTTTATTGGTGGAGTACAGGTAGATGGATTGATAGATAGATACAATATGTAAATCAGAAAACAAGCAGTATGATATAATCAGTACATAGAACAGATGACGGTGCAGCAGTGTGTTCACCTGTCACTCAGGAGGTGAGCTGTTGTTCAGTGTTACAGTGAACAGTAGGAATGATTTCCTGAAACCTTCCTTGTGACAAATGGAGCTGAATGAGTCTGTTAGAAAAGCAGCTGCTCTGTCTCTGCAGGCTGTGGTGGAGGGGCTGGGATGGATGGTCCATGATGGAGAGCAGTTTGTTCAGTGGTCCTCAAAGGTTCTGACCAATCATGAATCCCGGTTCTGTGGATGAGTTTATAGATCCCGCTGGCACCTCTGGCACAGATGTTGACCACAGAATAATAGAAGATCTCCCCCGTCCTGCCACACACACTGAAAGATCTGAGCTTCTTATTCCCTTCCTATACACAGCGCCAGTGTTGGTCCTCCAGTCCAATCTGCTGTTCCAGTTGACACCCAAGTATCCTGACAGCGAGAGATCCAGGAGACGGTAGAACCCAATCCTGAGCAGAAGAGGGCGGATGGTACAGAAGGCGCTGGAGAATTCAAAAAAACATGACTCTCACAGTCATAGCCAGGCGTGAGTGAGCGTGCTGCAGCAGGTAGATGAAAGCATCGTCTACCCCTGGTAATCAAACTTGAAGAGGGTCGAGAGCACAACCCGCCTCTCCAGTAGTTTCATGATGTGTGATGTAAGCGCAACCAGCCTGAAGTCACTGGGGCCAGATGGGGTGGACTTCTTGGGTGGCAGTATTCCTTTAAGCTTGACTGTGTTAAACGGTAAACTGTTCTTCACACTGTTTCAGCTTGCTGAGTTAGATTGGCGAACTTGGGAAATAAAAAGAAGTCTTGAGAGAAGCTTTGACAGTAAAATAGATGCTTTGTTCAAGCAACTGCTGGCCTTCACGGCAGCAGCGATGAGGCGGGAGGATGAGTCGAAGAAAGAAAACCATAGACTGAGTACAGAACAACTACAGATAGAGAGAGAGTGTCAAACACAGCAGGGGAAGTGAAACACTTCTACACAGCTGAACTACCTGTAGTCTACACTCAAGACGACAAAGACAGTGAATACAATACATCTAAACACACAGTTGCGTGTGAGTGTGTGTGTGTGTGTAACCGTTGTGATGCAGAAAACAAACAGTGTGTGAATCAACGCTGCAGAAAATGAGATTATCCTACACTAATTCTCTTATGAAAAACAACTCGATCTGCTTGTTGATGCATAGTGATGCATATTATGCTGCTACACACACACACACACACACACGCACCCACACACTAACACACACACACACTGGCACAAACACTCACGTACACATGCACAAATGTCACAGTTAAATGCAAATTTGTCTTCTAGACACAAAAGGCATGCACATCCTTTCCTCTTGCTGAAATAATAACATGCCAGTGTGTATGTGTGTGTGTGTGTGAGTGTGTGTGTGTGTTTAAATCACAGGAGTGAGTTCTTGGAAAAATATGATTCATAAGATATGAAACTGAATATAGTATATTTGACATTGTAGCATTTATCATTTGGCTTTTTAGGGTTAAAAGAAGTCGGGACACGCCTCTCTAAGCTGACCGCACGGCAGCTGACATGAATGAGATTCTACCTTTCTCTCTGAGTGATCGTTCTACAAGCAAATACAGCTGAAATCACAGCTCAGTCTTTGTCTTTAACTGATGTGTTTGGATAATTTGTCAAATGACGTCATAGTTATAAAATCAGGATTTTTAACAGCAGCCTGGAAATGGCTCGGAAATTAACATGTCATCTTAATGGGCCGCGTTTCAGTCACTATTTCATACTTGCTCTGTTGTGTGACAGCAGAAACAGAAAAACATGAAACTGAGCTGTGTTGACAGAGGTTAAAACTCCAGCAACACCTGTAGTGAACAGAAGACTTTGATTCATAAACATCATAAAACACATCACAGGTGACATTTAAATAAGATAGGTGTGGAAAAACAAAAGAAAACAAAACAAAAACAACAGCCAATCATGTGTGAACACATAGATAACTGCCTATGGGGCTACATCAGAGGTGGGGCCTTTGGTTATGTGGCTTAAGGCCAATCACTGTCCCAGGCTGGTGGGGAATGTTCAACAGGTGCCACCATGTTTTGTTCAAAGCCTGGAGAAGTGCAGCTAAAGGGTTGTAAGAAAGGGACCATGTCCCAGACTGTGACTAATGATGTGGCGTAGCACCCCCACAAAAGTCTTACATTAAAAAAAAAAGGATAAAAACTTATAAAAATGCTTTAAATGTAAAAGGCAACAAACTGCAACAGAAAAAAAAAATTACATAAGTCATCTTAACAATACAAAAATATACATAAATACATCCAAACCACTGCAAATCCAGACAACTGCGCTACATGGCAATATAAAAATGAAACCCTATAAAGATCATAGACACTATAAAAACTCCTAAGAAATCCTCATTCATGCTCCCTGGAGATAAACTTTCAAGATAAAAAATCCAAAATGCTTCCCTCTTCTGTTTTTTGTTGAGCTGTGTTATTAGACTGTAGATGTGAGCACACTGAGTAGGAGACACAAAGAGATAAAGAGCTGAAAGCAGCTGACACTAGGTTGAATGATAACTGCCTATGATGTAGCAGCAGAGTCTTGTTTGGGTATGTTATGCATTTACTGCAGAGACAGTGGGATGATGCAAAGCATCATTTTTTCCTGTGTGAAATGGTGACATGGAACTGTGCAACTGTGAATAAGCATTTGTCAATACTTAACATGCATCCCAGCTAATCAGGCCTCCTACAGTAACCATCTGGAGCCAATGGCTGCTTCCAGGTTAGAAGTGTGAGGGCCCGAGTCCTCTCAGAGCTGAGGCGTGTTTGAACTGAGCTCAGGAAGCAGCAGAAGCATCTGCTGACAGTTACACTGCAATTAGCCATGCAGGTTAAGTGAGCGCTGAGCGAGATCAAGTCGGGGGATTTCTCTGAGCTCTACCCCCTGAGGGCATCTGCTTCCAGCTAAAGCCTCCTGCTCACTGTGAGAGTATTTGTGTAAGCGTGTGTGGACCCCACGGGCCCTCTAAGCCTAATCAAGGTCAACCACAGCCCCTAAGGACCTCATAATTCATTGGGAACATCACTTCATGCATCACAAAACCTTTAGGATTCACTGCGTACGAAATCTGAGAGACAGAGAAGGAAAATCAAAGAAAAAACACTGAGCTCTGAGAGACAACAGTTCAGTCTGGAGCAGAAGAAAAAACAAGGGACGGAGGGTGTGAGATAATGAGGGAGAGACAGAGAGATGGAGAGAGTCGGACAGACGGAGTGACGGACAGATTGACAGAGAAAAGGAGGACAGGGAGCGACTGAGAGCAGAACAACAAAGCGTCTCTAGTGAGAGTGGAGAGGCTTTTGACTGAGTAAGGACTCAGAGATGACCACACACACACACACACACACACACACACACACACACACACACACACACACACACACACACACAGAGAGCGAAGGACAGCGAGCCAGCACTCAGACAAGGTTATTTTCACTTCATTATGTCTTTCAAATGATTAATATCCCAAATTACTGACTGACCATGTGCAGCTGAGACAGTGTGACAACGTGATCAAAACACATGCTTTTCATGACTTGTCCCTTTATATTTTAATAGTGTTACAACATCCTCTCCACCTTTCCAACTGCTACATAAGGCTGGCACAATCCGGCGTGTGTGGAGGTGAAGAACTACGATGGGTTTGGCCCTCCTTCTTCTTTTTCAGTTTTCACACAGTTACTTTTTGATTGTGCAGCATGAATGTCTTTGAGCAGAGCCTGCCTGAAGAGCGTGCGCCGCGCCGACACGTCACAGCGGGAAAAGCACACGTGTAAATCAGAAAATGAAAGATGGTCGAATTCCATTTAAACGCTTCATTTTCAGGGACGTGTGTTGTCTACGCCGGCTCACTGTCATGGTTTACTTGGATTCTTTAATAGAGACGTTAGCTGTGTGTCAATTCAGGGGCCGTATCTACGAAGGTGTGGCCCTTCGTCGCCGTAGCAGACCGCGATTTCCGCTTTGCGTCACGAGGCTGTGCACGTGTCAACTGACGCTAAGACGTTCCTTTTTTTCCACCAAAACTTTTTATGCCTGTTGGTTTTACATTTAAAAATGGAATCGTCTACCTCTCTCTGTCTGCGTTGTTTGCTGCCATATCATTTCAATTACCGGCGCGCAATGAATCTTGGGATAGGTTGGGCCACGAAGGATCTACCTGCTGAAGCCTTCGTTGCCCAGGAAAAGAAGGATGCGTTTGAGGGAGCCTACGAAATGGGACCGACCAGTCACGCAGCTGTGACACAATCGGTCTTCAAATGCAGCCTCCGAACGATGCAGCCCCTGAACTGGGACACAGCTCTTGTTAATGTGTTAGTAACACCTGGGCTTCTCCTCGTATGACAAGTCCAAGGTCTCGTTTACACTTCTGTCTCATATCTGGATGAAATTTTCAAAACGTCTTTGTTTTATGTGCTATGTCTCTGCTCTGCTGAGACGGAGGTGCTAATGCACCCAAGGCGCGAAAAAAACAAACAAATGAATGAACTGTATTTATGAATGACAAGCGGGACCAAAGTTTCATCTTCTTCATGGCTCTAACTCACGCTGCCTCCCTCCCCCACACAGATCTGTGATCAGATCAATGCAGCAGGAGCTCAGGGCTCCTCGTATTTGATTATATATGTAGAAATGTCTGGAGCTGTTCTTCCTTGATGCTTTAAAAGACAGACCATGGATGTATCAAGAAAATCAGGCAGTGAGTGGATATTTCACATACTGATTAACAACACAGTCACACCGTGGGAGGAGGAAAGATTAGATGTGTGTTTTTTTTGAGCCTCAACCGCCTCCGTTGGAGGTTTGAACAACTGGATTTCAATCCACCTTGAATGCTCCCTGGATGCATTTACATTTAGCTTCATGGAGATTTGGAGATCTGTCCAAAAAACACAAAATGACTGAATCTTTTCACCTCAACTCTGACTGTGAACACTTGGAACCAATATCAACACAATGGCCTTCAGACGCGGTCGGACGATACGTCGTGAAAAACATGTTTGTTTCACTCCATCCTGAACCCCGAACCCTCTTCACTTAAGGAGGGTAAACTCGAATGAGCACATCCAAAAAGATGACAATAATCCCTCATCGTGCGGGAAGTGTGAAGCGCTGGCCCCATCGCCTCTTGTCACGTTCTTATTTAATGAGACTTTAGACTTTACACCTTCACACTGTGAGAATTTGGGTCTCTCACAGTGAGACCTTGATGGTGAAAAAGACATTCACACACTGTGTAAAGGATTTAACTTGGTGACTCCAAAGTCATTATTACTGAGAGAAAAGGCGGCCAAACCTACAACATCTACCTTAATTATGCATTAAAGCATTTTTTATGTAAGTTATAATGTTTTTCTTTTTTACAAGCAAAGACACTTAACCTCACAGAGTCTGACTATTTCCCTTTAATCTTTTGGTGTGTTTAGGAAAATTAGAGTTAATGGGGAAATCTGAAAAACAAAACAAAAACAAAGACAAAATACCAACACAGTATCAAAGAAACCAATTTTCATCGTTATGTTTTTACTCTTTGTACAGCTGCAGAGCTGGAAATATATTTAGATGGGTAGAGTAGGTGGTCAGCCACACATACACTCGCTCACCTCGGCATGTAGAGAACCCTCTCTGCCACGACAAATCCAACCCTGAAGAAGAGGTTACTGGCAGGAATGAAGGGAAATACCAGAAACAACATTCCCACCAACACCTCCCTGCTCTCCTGTTTCTGCAGAGAGAGAGAGAGAGAGAGAGAGAGAGAGAGAGAGAGAGACACAGAGGTATGAGCATATTGACAGCAAACAAACCGGGTGTTACATTTCTTATTAAAACAAGTCAAGAGGCAACAGTGTAACTGCTTCAAACCTCACATTCATTATGAACAGTAATATGTGCTATACACTCTCTGCCAACACACACACACACGCGCTTGAACACACTGCGACATGCACGTTCAGCAGCCATGACCAATCTGTCTTAAATATTATAAATCATCTGTGCAACAGAGAAGCAATTAAGGAGATCAAATTATCAAATTACAGTTAATTCCTTTTCCTATAAAGCCCGTATCTGAGGCCATTCATATTTCATAATGCCTACAGCCTCTGCCTCCTCGCCGTCCATGTTATCCCACCATGGCTGTGTTTATTTGAACAAACAGGCCTCTAATTGGCTGAGTTGGCAGCCCCTCGCTGGGTTGAGTGGATTGGCTCATTAGCAGTAATGAGAGCAAGAGAAGTGTGAAGTGCTGATTAGCGTCGCTCCAATCAGAGGCTTGTTCTGCTGTCAGCGGGCTCATTGACGGCCATTGAGACCATCGCTGACTGGAAGGGGACCTGTGGTGATATCACAGACACACGACAAACAAACACTCTGAAGCACTTTGAGCTAGAGAGGCAATCCTCCGCTGGTAATGGCCTGGATATTATAGAGGGGAGGAATATAAACACACAGCCGGCTGCTGATACGATCTGACATCAACACTACCATAAACATTATGAACATCTCCAAACATAAACAGAGAACTACTGATAGCATCGTAATGAAGCTACAGTCATATTACAGAGAGTAACGCACACACTGAGAGTTGATGATAAGACAACGGACCGCTAAAAGCCTGGGTGTTATCTGCACAAACAAACTGCAGTGCACTAATTATGATTATAGATGAGGTAATTGTGTTCAGATATTATTGACAGATGATTTAACTACACTGAAACTGGTTTAAAAATCCCCTTTGTGCGTTTATTAAGCCATATACAGAAGCTACAGACTGCCACAACAGAAATGACACAGAGTGTGGAGTAGAGTGGTTCATTTTATGTTATTTTTTTATTACTTAATTTCTAAAAACAATATATTACGGAATATATACAAAACACACATTTAAAGTAAGTTATTTATAAATGTTTGTTAGCTAGTCATCAGTGCTTAGAGTCGATTAAAAATGTGGTTGACTTTTATGGTTGGTTGCATGGAGAAGAAGCTCTCTTATCTCTCTTATTATTCATTACTGGGAAATGACGGTGTATAGCTGTGGGGGTTGGCCACATTCTTAAGAAAAATATTTAACCAATGATTAACTCTCCACCTCTTCCTGCTATCTGCTAAGATGCTATCTCGAGCTAATCCCCCCCCACATTTAGCAGCATTGCTTCAATAGGCTCTTTTTTTTTAATCAAATGTTTTTACTTTCCACAAAAATGGACATAAACATAATGATGTACAGGCAGTGAACAAAACGTGACATCAGAGTAAGCACCCCATCCACAAAACTAAGAAGTCAAAAAAAAAAAAAAAAAAGAAAAGAAAAGAAAAAAACGGAATAACAGATGTGGATCAAATACGTAGCAGACAAGAGATCATGAGAAATACAGAAATCACAACAGGCCTTTCACTGCTTCAGCCGGTGAGAGCCACATATTCACATTCGCCTCTTTAGCCACGTTCATACGAGACGTTGATAACTCCATTTAAATAACCTCAAGAAAAGTTAGAACCCACTGTCTTATGGAGAGAGCGTGCGGGGGCTTCCGACGCTTCGCAGTCATTTTCTTAGCAGCTGTTAAGCACTAAACGTTTCTGACATTTAGGCGCCTGAAGTGAGGAAATGTCGTTTAGGAACAAAACAGGTATGGCCGCAGGTACTGTCTCTGATATGACTGCCATCAGAATTGGGCAACACTGCCATAATTGGGCAACAGGGGTCTTTACTGTACACATGGTACACGTGGCATCATCAGTAACTTTCATGTGATACACCTTGCGTGGTGTCAGGTAGCTTGGATAGACTCTCTACGGACCCCTGTGACATGCAAAATGAGGGTCACTTGACTGGCAGGGGCAGTTGAGCTAGCACAATGCTACCTAGCACCAGTGGCTCATTGCTCACCTTGCACCACGATTATTAACACATTTGCTGCTCCCGCCTGCCTAACTCACACTGAACTCCAATGATAGTGTTGTATATAATAATATTGAGCTGTTTAGAAAAATAAAAATGTAGAAGGACATAGAAGCACTTTTTCCTCAAGGAAATCATGGAGGCTGTTTAAATGACAGGAGGACCAGAAAAACAGTAGCTAACAATGACTGTCATTTTTACTGGGCTAGGGGTGGGAAATTACAGCATATGCGCTCCGTACAAGATTACAATCACTGACCAGCTCAGGTAATGTTGAAATCACCCACCTCCGCTATAGAGAAATAACTCCAGTCTGATTGAGGCTTCAGTGTCACATATTTACCTCATAAATACTCAGTAGCTGGGATGACTGAAAAAAAAGGGATTTTTCTCATAGTGTCAGTTTTCTTGAAAGGAATTCAATGAAACAATAATGGAAGACATCAGTCCAACATTCAGAGCTTGGTAGAAGCCAATATTATTGATTTCTTACTAAACCCTTGTATTATGAGGCAAACCTCCCCCCCCCCTCTTCATATCTTCTCCAGCATTCCCCTGGTCTGATATCTGTTCATCTATTAGTTTCTGTTAGTGTCAGTCCATTTCTGTTTTTCTGTTAGTCCACTAGTTTATCTGTTCATTATCTTCTCCTCTGTCCATCAGTTATTTATACATATAGAGGAAACACTGATTCACCTGTAAATTAATTTCATTCTACCACCCGATGCTGCCTTTAATCTGAGCAGCTTTCTATTGTGCAACATTTGTGGCTAATGCATCACTTAATGACACGAAGACAACCATCAGTGCGGTTTCCAGCGGAGTTGAGGGGGTTGTTACTTCTAATTGCTGGCCACCTTCCTAACTGCCTGGCATCATACTCTACTTTTATTTGCTTTTCCCTCTCCTCTCTCTTTTTGTTTTCGTCCTCTTCACGGCTTCATCTCTGCTGTTCCTTTGTTATTTCCAACCGTTTGATCCTCTGCTCTGCTTTGATTTATTTCTTTGATTTTCCTCCTTATTTTTCATCGCCTCAGCTCTCCTCCATGCACCGCGGTGTGTCATCCAGTAACCGGCGCTTCATTTAACCGTCGTGACAGTCTCACCTCGGCCGGTATAGCTGTACCTCACCTGCCGGCAGACTCGCTGGGTTCACCTCAATCATTTCAGTGTACAGTGCTAAAAATTTGGACAATCATGTCACTTCCATCAACAAGCTGAAGAAGAAGTTATTCTGAAATGCAATCCTTCCTGAGATAACGAGTAGGTCTATGAGTTCACATGACAGCTGTGGAACAAAAATGCCTCTGAAAAATGTACCAGTAACTGTCTCAGCCTCTTATGTGGCTTCAAAAAAAAAAAAAAAAACCATACACACAAACAGCAGGGAGGGAAGAGAGGGAGAGAAAATGTAAAGGTGGTGCAGAGCTCCTTCTTACTGTATAATATTACAAACATCAGGTGTCATGCATTGTTTTTTTATGCTTGTAGTGTGAATATCTTTTCGACATTTCTCCTGAAGTGAGTACTGCAAAACCTTGTTTCAAAATCTGATAAGAATCTTTACCAGCCATGACAGCATGTGGCTGGTATTGTTTTTGCCTTGTGAGGCAATGTGTGTGTGTGTGTGTGTGTCATCGTGGCAAAATGTGGCCCTGGAGAAACTTACTGTACCCGGGGGCCTCTCTGCGTGGAGTTTGCATGTTCTTTTCATGCCTGCGTGGGTTTCCTCCAGGCTTCCTCCCGCAGTCCAAACGCATGCAGGTTTAGGTTAATTAGCAACTCTTAATAAGGTGAAATGTGAATGCTCGTTTGTCTAGACCCTATGAGGATAATGAATAAATAACTAATGAATACTCGTGGGTCAGAACATTAACATATTGAAGGGCGTTGCAGCTGCTGTGATCCCAGCACAAGATGGTTTCAAGTGTTTTCTGCATCCAGGAGAATTGGCAGTGCTCACAGTGTGGGGAGGCCATGCTCTGCTCCCAAGGAGAGACACAAGTACTGTCTTCAAAGTCCTTGTTCTGAACTTAAAAGGTCCAACCCCAAAACTGCTCCAACTCTGGCAGCAATATGCCACCTTTTTGCCAACCAGTGTATCCTTGGACATCACTGGTAATGCAGACCTTTCTGACTTGCTTACTTTTGGTCTCAGTGAGTAAAGGATGGAAACTCACAATGACAGTATGGTGAATTCTCTGTCCATCTCATTTGAAAAGACTCCGAAAGCCACAGCTTTGTAGAATATCATTTGAAGGAGGTTCCCCATTATTAAGACAGTTCTACCCTCTAGGAATTAAAACCATACTTTTGGTAGTATCCAAACTACCACAGACAACAACTGCTTTACTTCCACCATCAGATTAATGCCTTAAAATACTGGAGTGGAAAGGTATCAAAAAGTATCGCAGGTATCACATTTTCTTATTGGAAAATCAACTGAGCAAAAGCTTTCACGTACCATCCACAGACCCACAGGTGTTGCCATTTCCCATGAGGAGCGTGTGGTTTGTGGCTACGTGAGAATGATGTTTATATCTACCATCGTCACCTCTTAGACTGGTGACCTGTAACCAAGCTGGCTGATCTGTACTTACAGAAGGCAAAGCAGCGCTTTTATCACCTCAGCCAGTGAAGAAAACTCTACAGACTCTAAAAGACTCTAAAGAACAAGGTCTGTTAAAAGCACCATTGTCCCAGCATTCCTTGTTTTGCTGGATCAGTACACTAGATGGTCCAGAGGGAATCTTACCACCTCTGCAATGGAGTCTGGAGTTTGGAAGACTTAAAACAAGTGTACACCAAGACTCAGGAACAGTTTC